CCCACAAGAAGACAGAAAGAGCACAGAAGAGACAGAAACAAAGCAAATCAACTTAAGATGAGAGTTTTTGACACCAAGGCCCACAAGAAGACAGAAAGAGCACAGAAGAGACAGAAACAAAGCAAATCAACTTAAGATGAGGGTTTTCTGACACCAAGGCCCACAAGAAGACAGAAAGAGCACAGAAGAGACAGAAACAAAGCAAATCAACTTAAGATGAGAGTTTTCTGACACCAAGGCCCACAAGAAGACAGAAAGAGCACAGAAGAGACAGAAACAAAGCAAATCAACTTAAAATGAGAGTTTTCTGACACCAAGGCCCACAAAAAGACAGAAAGAGCACAGAAGAGACAGACACAAAGCAAATCAACTTAAAATGAGAGTTTTCTGAGAGTTTTCTGACACCAAGGCCCACAAGAAGACGGAAAGAGCACAGAAGAGACAGAAACAAAGCTAATCAACTTAAGATTTTTGACACCGAGGCCCACTAGAAGACAGACAGAGCACAGAAGAACCCACCCAAAGCAACTTTTTATTGTAAATTACAGTATTTTTGCACCTTCGAGCCTGCCTCAAGACACCCTAAAAGTTTGCAAATCACAATCTCGAACTTTCACCCTCCCCAAGGAGCTGAGGTGGTAAGCGATAGAAGCATTTGTGATGTCAAACGAATGATTCCCAAAAGGTGCAATCAAAGGACTGAGTTTTCGTTTGTTTTGTCCATGTATTGAAGTCAGTCCATGCATCAAGCAAACGTTCGGCTTCATCCCGGACATCTCCCCCCCAGAGATGGTGCACATTGGACAGGTAAATGATAGCTCCACCAGCAAGCCACAGTGCATACCCCAAGTTCAGAGAATGCACGCTGCAAAACTTTATTTGCATTGGGTCGAAAAGGGGAAGTTGAGTCAAGACGCTTTAGAAAGCACAGGCTACTGGTTGGCAAGTAGACAGAAACAAAGCAAATCAGCTTAAGATTTGACACCAAGCTCTCAGATCCAGCGACCCACACTGAGGTGGTGCCTTTCAGGGTTAATAATACTGCTGGTCTTGCTTTTTGGCTTGTTGGTCGAAGCCTCCCGAAAGCGGTCTGGTCAGCACTCCTTTGTTTGTGGGAGATTTGCAAGCCGCAAATTCCAGCATCTTAAGTTGCGCCTGACGTGCATTGCTCCCAGAGAAGAACCTTGCTCGCTCCCATTCAAAGCGGCGTTTCGGCTGACTATGACGTCGCTGTGGCACTTCGTCGATCATGGCGCGTGCCCTTGCTGCCGACGGCGCGGCGCTGCTGGCGTATGGCCGCTCTACCAGCACTGCCGTGCGAAGCATCCGAAGAAGGCCGCACGACCGCGGCGGCCATTTGTCGTGCTTTGTGGATCGTTCGTTTCCTTTTGGACGTGTCCTTCTTGACTTTATGTTTTGTTCAATGTCATCCAAACGTTACAATAGCAAGCCATGCGTTCCTTCCAAGCATATTCTTGCACCTTCCATCCATGTACCTTCGGGGTGGTATATGGCTCGCTGGACACTTTGCGCCATCCAGACATGCATCAGCCCAGAAAGAGTTGAGAACCTCGATTGTGGCCTTGTCATATACGCCGCGTACGCCGGCCACATCGCAGGATGACCTCCTGGACGCCCTGGAAGACATGATGGAAGTCGAGCAACGTGAGAAGGAGGGGCGTGAGGCGGATCATGATGCACGCACATTGTCGGATCATGGCCGTGTGTGCGCGCCTCGTCGGCTCGTTCTCGGCAAGGGGCTCGACAAAAGATTGAGATCGAAAGCTTGGTACCTTTTTGGTGGTTTCTGATACCCACTTGTTCAGGCGCGTCATGGAGATGACCGTGACCACTCGCCGGCCGAGGAGCGCGCAGTCGCTCGCAATGCAATGACTCCCCGGACAGAACACGTTTCTGACAGGTGAACCCATGGTATATCACAACACTCCCACTGTTTCATCTCGGTTGAGCGACTTTACCTCCATTGATTTGGGCATCCATGTGGTTATGCTTTTGGAGTGGGGCAGAGGATGCTCGACCCAATCGCCCAGGAGCGAGATGCGCGGTTTGACGAAGACAAGGCTACTGTTGCTCGCTGCAAGTCGAGCGGTGGGGAGGGACGTGGACGGTATTCGAAGTTTGGCCATCTCTGGTCCCTTGTAACACTACATGGTAACACTACATGCGCAAACGAAAAACAGTGAACCTTCAACGAGAACGTGCTTGTGTTCGGGCTCGTGGGCTTCGTCTTGTTTTTCTATTGACGTGTCCTGTTCGAGTTAGCTGCTGTGTTATGCGGTCAAGCTCCGCAAAACCTAGTATCAGACCGGTCAGGCGCAGCGCCGAGATGATGACCTTCCATTGGTTGACGATCGCGATCGCGACCGTTCGCGACCCGGAGCTCCCTGGCCTGAGTTTCTTCACCGCGAGGTTCGCGCACTCTATGTGGACTTCGGCCAAAAGTCTACAATAAAAAACAGAGGGGTCGAAGGTAGCTTGTGATGTTGTTTTTTCCATGGTATTGTCCAGCGGGCCCCCGGCTAAACACACCTATTCTGCAGCTGGGCGCTAGGTTTGCGGTAGATTTGGGCTAATGTTTGCCTTAGGAAATGTTCAGATTGTCGTCAGGTGTTCGAAAAGTGGCCGGCTGAAAAATGCGCTGGCCGCGCGCTGGCCCTGCGCTAGATCCGCGCAAGCAAACATCGACAGATTCCAACGTAGACCCTATCCAAGGCTGACTTGCTACATGTCTTTTGTAGCACGCATGGCGGCTCGAAACTCGGAGCTCGATCGAAAACGGTGCAGCGCTTGTGACGCCTCTTACACTTTGGCACCGCTACTTGTTTGGTTCATGTTTCTTTCATTAGCTGTGTGTGCCAAAAGTAAAAACTATGTAGCGGGCCTCCATGTGAAGTCATTCTTAACTGTGCAGTCTACCAGTAAAGATGCCACAGAAGCTGCGCCATAGTGGCATTGCGCTCAGGTGCAGCGCCGAGATGACGATGTTCCATTGACTGACTCTCGCGACTACCGCGACTATCGCGGTCGGGAGCGTTCACGAAACTCCAGAGCTCCTTGGCGCGAGTTTCTCCGCCGTCGGGGTTCGTGCACTCTGTTTGTCCTAGGTATCCATCGAGTTTCATACGTACAGTCTACCAGTAAATACCACAGGGACTACAGATCTGGTGAGTGCGTAGTGACAACCTCCTGTCATGTTTAGGTTAGCTGCTGTGTGGTGCAGTCATTGGCTCTGTCAAGCCTGATCTCAGACCGCTCAGGCGCTGCATCGCGACGACGAGGCCGACTATCGCGATCGTGAACGCTCACGGTGCTCACGAGACTCCAGGGCTCCTCGGCATGAGTTTCCTCACCGTCCACATTCGTGCACTCTGTCTGTCCTATGT